ATGGCTTGCTCATGATACCTTCGGCTACGAGAGATGTAGCCACTATGGGCTGGAGACGTGAAATGCTAACATACTCGACTCTAATTCTCATGTGTTCTTACGTCTGATGTACTAACAATGGACGCTTGATTGATGCTACTTTGTTCGAGCAAAGCCATCATTCTTTATATTTGCCTCACTCCTTCTCAAGGTATGGACATTCTGGCCAACCAGCACAGCTTCGATGAGAATGAAATCTTTCAACTGGAATATGTCGGAGGACATGGCTTCAACTCGTTCGAGCTGACTCTCGCTGTACCGCCAGACGAGCGCGGAGATGCACCAGCCTCACCGACAGGTCCTGTCATAGTCAACCCTGCCAACGGCTTTTCGGATACCGTTTCCTTGGCCACTGGCTTCTGGCGTCTTCGAACTCGTGCCGGTCGCCTGTGGCGCATGGCGGCTGGCAGTCCTGTTCAAAACTCAGCCGACGACAAGTTAGCCCATTTGCATATTTCCCAGTCCACTCTTCCACTGTCCACATCTGCCCATTTATCGGCCCATCCTCTAATTCATGCAAATGTCACATTATTAGTAGGAACTCGGGCCAAAGTGAGTCACCTAAGGCTGTTCAGGAACCGATAGTTCACTTTCTAGCCATGAACCTAAGCGAAGTCATAGCAGTTCTTCCAACGCCTTCTCTTGAAAGGCTTCCCACAGTCTCAGTCCCGCTCCCAACGAGGACTGAGCATGATCAAGCGTCACCACTTCGTCACGCCGCCAATCCTGCCAGTGCGCCAAAGGTTTTACGTGACCTTCAAGGCATTCCAAGGCCCTTCCATTGCAAACCGAGTGAATGGGTTTCTGAACTTTTAGTGGATTTTGAATGATACCAAAGCTTTAGGGTGTTAGTGACAGCAGAGGAGTACTTCCAAACAGGACTGGAAGCGGGAATATTATCGCGTAACAGACTACCCTTGACAGTTATTTTGACCTTGTGGCCCACTTAGACACAGGGCAGTGTGGCAGGGTGTTGATGACGTCGTTTGAAGCTCAAGACCCTGCCTCCGATCCCTTTGTTGTGCTGATCTGACAATATAACAAAACCAAAATTGAAGTCGAGCCCGAATTTGTGAGGGCCTTTTGAAGGGAATTTTATAGTTGACTTAATTGGCTCATTTAATTTTTTTAAGCCTTCATAAAGCATTACTGATGATGACCAGAAATTAAAGTATTGTGACATGACTTTCCATTTCGAAGGAAAGGTTGGTTAGAAGGAATGGATGAATTGGTCGCATCGGAAACTGTTGGATTATGCGATGAAGTCCGCGAACCCGATGAACTTGTGCAAAGCTTTCGTCTGTCCTGTTACACACATCCCCACAGTAAGAAACCATAAGTTGCAAAAAAATGCACCGAATACAATCAGCCAAGAAGCTAAGGCTAGCTCGATGCAATCACAATCACTTAGCAAACCTAACTTTGCGGTCCTAATGAGGCATCACATGATTTGGTTGGCCATTTAACGCCACACATACATTCCTGTAGATGGCAGAGGTTGATATATGAACAGGAAATGGATGTGGAGGCAGCTGTTTCCTTGTCTAAATAATCATACGTATCATCCTGCAACTTTTTACTTGTATGGTATTGCGTATTGTTTGTAGGCAAAGTCCAAGTCACGAGAAGTATGAAAGTTATAATCAGACCCGAAACTATTAAATCCTGCTCCTCTTCCCTTCTCTTCTTGAGTATACCCAGCAGCCATAAATATTTCCTGCTCAATTTACATTCATTTCTTTTACACAGAATGTTATGGCTCTTTTGGCTATTATTTTAGGCTACCTGATCGTACACTTGGATGTAAACTCCCATGGCCAGCAAAACGCTGTGTTTTGGGCCATTTTATTTTACTTATTTTACTTTTACCTGGCGGTAAAAAGTTAATTGAAATCTTTATCATTAGATTGGCTCATTTAGTTACGAATAGTACTTGTTTTATTTTAAATGTCGAATTGTGTGCGCAAATACGAGGTTTAGCCTCGTGCTTAGCTCAAATTTTAGCTAATAACCTGTATGGTCAAATTAGAGTATTACCTAATACAAGAAGGACTTTTAGTTCCCAAGCTATTAGTCAGATGTATGGACGATTAATTTGCTGTTTGGCAACATGGCAAAGATAAATTAGATGAATCTTTGGCGATAGGGAATATATTGTTAGATGGAATAGCTACATTTACTATCCAGTTATACAAGACTAAGTTGCATTTTATGGCTATATTGATAGGTAAAAAAGGTTCTAGTTTTGGTAGAGAATCGTTTAGGAAAATCACACATGTGCGTTTCATTGGTAATTTATTTTCTTATCATGGATATGAGACCAAAGTATATATTATGAATTCGATGATAAGGATGAGTCTGTGCCCAAAACAGCATATTGCTGGCTATGGGTATTTCGTATGATTATTACGTAAGATTAGAGTTTCTATAGAAATAAACAAGACAGCCCACAATTTAATCGAACGTATGAAGACCAAGATGGTGTGGCCTTTAATATAGTCGCGGTCTCCTTTCGTAATATGAAAATCTTCTGACTTTGTTTTAGCAACTTAGTTATATTGCTAAGGCGACCCAGAGGAATGCACCTTCTCCGAAGTTCAAAGTGTCCATGTCAATTGCTAGAGTCAGACCGTTGACTTGGTACATTCCCAGACATTTATCCTGCATCGTAATTGGCGTCGTCAGCGAGCCTTGCCATTCCTAGCACCACACTGCAACTCGTCAAGGAGATAAGCTTAGCGGACAATGGGTCAAAGGATCGACTTTACTTGCCTCTTTGACAAGTTGTGGTGTGATGCTCAGAATGGCAATGCTCGCTGACGATGCCGATTACCATACGGGCGAAACGTCTGGGAATGTACCAAGTCCACGGTCCGACTCTGGAGAGTTTCATGCATACTATGGACTCCGGACAAGGTGCGTTTCTCTACGTCTCCCTGCCAAAACGACGAGGTTGCGGAAAAAAGTTAAACAACTTCTAAAACAGCCCATATCCGGAATAGAAGAAATTGATGTAAAAAGTTGAACAGGAACTATGTGTGAATATTGGAGAGAGAGGTAACCGCTGAGTGAGAGAAGCAGACTTGAATAGTTTCGAGTCTGACTAGGACCTTTATAATTTGCATGACTTGGACTTTGCTTACACACATTACGCAATACCACATATGCATCAAGCAATCCTTATTTTTTTGATTTGTTGTATTTGCCGCGTTTCTTCGTAAATTATGGTTTCTCGCTGTCGGGAGGTGTATAACAGGACGGGTTCGTGGACTTGATCGTACAATTTAACACTCTTTACTCCGCGGAAATCCTCATTCAGTTTCCGGTGAGACCATTTCACGAATTCCTTTCTGCCAATCATTCCTTCGAGTTGGAAAGTCATTTCGAATTTCAGTTTTTCTTCATACATTAGAAATCGAATTATGTTATGTTTCTTATTTGCCAACATGCATCCACACACGCAAAAATTAATCACCCAACT